ACGGCAGTCGGCGGCACATCCTCGCCGGGTCTCCCGAAGTATCCCTCCGGAAGTGGGTCGCGGGCCCAAGTCTCGACGGGATCTGCGCCGGGACACGGAACGCAAACAATGTCAACCAAGGTATCATTGTAGCCAGGTCCATTTACATCGCCATCGATATGTGCAAAGCCGGGACTCGGATCCCAGTGGGATGATCCGCTGTGCGGCCGTGGTGTTTCCGGTTGTCCGTAATGTGTCTCCTCTGAAGTCTGAAGTAGGGCAGAGTCGTGCGGTCGGACGCGATCCGGGCTGTCGTCTACAGCGGATGCGACCTCGTCTAGTGTTGCGACTTCAGTCTCATGTGTCCAATCTTTTGACGGTTCCATGATGCATTGGTTTCTTCAGAACATCTGGCTCGTCGCAATATGTCGCACGAGGGAACAAGCAAGAAAATGAAGAGGCTGAAGCCTGTCACGAAATTGCGCCTGTCGCGGGTATGGCCGGCGCAAATATGCCCCAGAGCTGATGAACACCCCGGCCCGTTTTGGTCATCGGTCGCGTAGGCATCAGCCAGCCGCCTGTTGCTTATGCACCTCAATAGACCAACAGGGCGACCAACCCCGGTAGCTTAGCCTGCAGGTTGACCACCAGTTGGGCGTTTTTAGTGAGATGTGTGCCTGTGAAGTCTCGGCAAAAATGCCGATCAACTCTCAAATGGGTAAGACGGAAGACCTCCAGCTTCCTCAATAGGAGAACAGCGACTGAGACTCTTTGAAACTTCGCATTCAAGTAGACACTGCCGTCTCAGTCTCGCGTCGTACGACTGCGGACAATAGAAACGCCTCAACCGCCCTTTCAGTTGGTGCTGATTGAGGCTGACAGGAGACAACCATCTTAGTCACAGCCGCCGTCGCATTTTTGGTGGTTTTATTGACCAGGTGACGGGCCGAAGCTGACCAAGAGGATCTAGCGTCGCCGATCCGCCTGCAAGTCACCTCGTGTCACACGCAATGTGGATGGGTGACTTGCTGCAGGTGTCAGGCTGAGCTGCGGGTTGCAACTCGTTCCGCTATCCGATAAAATCTCTGTCTTTCCTCACGTTGTAAATACCCAAGTTGCAATCTGTTGATTTCTCCCTTGTGACAGGAAACCCCACCGCCATAGCTCAATAATTCACAATGAAGCAATTCAAGGCGTGGTGTTTGAAACCGACACCAATTGAAATAACCACGGGGCTCTTGCGCAGTGCCAGAAAGCACACAAAATAGTTGAGCGACAGCAAAAACAAGTCAACCCGAAAAGGTTCATGTATGCAATGAGTGATTGTTTGAACAGTTAAGTCGAGCTAGTGATGGTAAATCGTGATGGGTTCATTTTACATTTTGACGTTGATACACCTTCAACAGCATTGGATGGCAGCAGTTCAGCAATAACTCTGATTAAAAAGAATGATACAGCCGATCTAAAGTATATGCAAAGCAAACGATCTCCTAAGATTATCAGTTATCCTCGTCTTTGACACATATTCTTTACGTCTGAAAATACCCCGGACTTACGGGCTAGACATGCGCCAGAACTGCAGTTCGTCTCGTTCATTCTCATATGTTGCCACCTTATCTCAGCGGTTTCATCCAATCTTTTCGGCTCCGTGCCGGATCAATGAGGGTTGGAAGACAAAAGTGGTGAGCTATGTGACCTGAAAGCAGCTATGAAGTGCTTCTCGCATTGACAAAACCAAGACCTCGGCAGAAATCCTCCGGGGCAAGTTTGCCGTATGGGATACCAAGAGTCGTCGCATCTTCGGCCGTTGATGTATCTGTGCGCAGCTGCAGCCAAGCGGGTTCTCTCCGTTGACCAGAGACGTACGTAGGTGAAGAGCGTCAAAAGGCCGTTCATTCGGTCTGTGTATGGGGTTCAACCACTCGACAGCGCGTCACAGCGCCAATTTTAGAATGACAGTATTTCGCCCGTACCCCGTGTCCCTCCCGAGTTTCGCATCGTCTATCACTTCTGTTTCTTTTTTCGACTTGACAACGTTGTTTAATCTTGAAGGCCTCTAGAGAGGTGACATTTTCGGGCATCACTCAAAATCTTATTAACCAGACGCACACCGATTCAGATGAAGATTTGCCAAGAGCTTGTCTGACCCATCTTCGATTTCCCCGATCACTTCTGAATCTCTGCACAAATGTCGGCCGCGGACCTAGACTCGAATGCGTGGTATATCGTCACTTCACAGCGCTACGTCAACGTCTCCCAGCCCATCGATTCCTGTCTGCAACTCACAAGAGATGGCCCAAGAGTATCTTCATGCGATGAGAAGCGGTTCATGGCGTGGCAGTTCGAGCCGGTTGAGTCCAAGAAGGGGCGATATGTGATGAGGATGAATGCAACAAGCGTGCGACAGCAGCTCTCCGTGTGTTGGGACTCCGATGAAACAGATGATGGAAAGACAGTTGGATGCATGCGAAGGACGAATGCTGAAGACCCTCAGCTATGGGACATTGTTGATAGGGGAGACGGCACATACGACTTTCTCAACGCTGCAAACGGGACCGGGCGTGTCCTCGATGTCCATCAGGGCTCGAACCTGTTTATGGCGAGCAAAGTTGAAGGGACCGGCGACAGCAACAGTTCTAGCTCTGCTCAACGATGGATTATGACAAGCGACAGGCCTGTCAACAACCGCGTTTACTCAACTGTTTACCAGTCAGAGGTAAGCTATGTTCCTTCGCGCAGCTTCAAGCAGTGGGTGATGAAGGACCTCGCTAATTCTTGCAGCCAACTTTCTTCCCGCCGATACCTGGGTTTCCCACGGGCCCTAACGGCCCTATCGGACCCAACGGAGATGTTTCACGCGCCGGTCTCTCGTCAAGCGCGGCAGCCGGCATCGGTATCGGGGCTGCTATCGGCGGCATCGCTCTGGCGGGGACTGCGGCTTTGTTGTGGAGAAAGAGGAGATCCCCCAAGAACGTTGTCACAGACCAAGAACCGCAGTACCAAGAAGTCGAGCGCGAACGCGCTTATAGCCCAAAGCCCCCGAACTACATGGAGAGTCAACGGGCGGCTGAAGCAGAAGCGAACCAAGTATTCGAGGCGCCATACGAGGACCCTGTTCATGAAGTGCCGACAGACGACCTTGCCAACCGCCACGAACTGCCCTGAGCCTATGGATGGAGGACTCCACAACGGAGTCAGAGGGAGGTGGGGTATTAATCAGAAATTGTTCTTTTAAAGGCGTCGAGTCGCCATCACATATTACCACAACTGTAATCTAGTAAATAATCCAGACAGGAACTGGCGGGGTACGGTAATGCAGTCTTGTTCAAAGAGCGATTAAACCGCGTGGTAAGCTGTAGATTTGTCTTGTCTCTGGGCACGACCATCCACTGTAACCTGGGCCTTTCGGCGTGCTCCCCCGGAACTCCGAACATGATCGGTGAGAATGCCGATGACGTGGGAAAATTGTATTTCATGACAGGAAGACATTGATGAAGACCCGAGACCAAGGTCAATGAGAGGTTTATATGAGTATTAAAATGATCAGACTAAGATTTTCAAGAATTGACCTTGAGGGTGTGTTGAGAGGCTTCCGGTGTCTTCGCATCGAGGAGTCGGTGAAAAGGCTCGGATTGTGAGGGCCGACCTCGATGCGAGATAAGTACGTATCTTTCACCCCACTACGACGGGGTCGGCTTGAAAGCCGGACGCGGGGTCCTTCGAGACGCGGGGCAGTTCGCAAACGCGAGGAGCTCGTCGATGACAAAAGCTCGAACATAAGAGGCTCATATCCCCTTGCCTAAGATAGCACACGACTATCGTAGCATTGCAGCTCAACATCCAATCCATTAATTATCTTGAAAATGGCTTCCTGGTCCGAGAAAAAGTCACAAAACCGCACCCTGCAGATTCTCGACGCTGCTACCAAGGGGCAATATGGCGTTCTCGGTGTCGTCATGTAAGCTCTTCGTTGTTGTCTAATAAGAGCTTGAAAGTGTCTAATCATAGCCCAGCTACAATATCGAGCAGCTTACTGCTGTGGTTAAAGCGGCCGAGGCAAAGAAATCGCCCATCCTGATTCTGCTATTCCCCTCAGCTGTGACGCAGCTCCCCACTCTCGCTTGGGCCGTAGCGGCAGCCATCAAGTCATCCAGCGTACCAATCGCGTTGCACCTCGACCACGCCCAGGATGAGAACCAGATCAGAGAAATTGCCGGCAACTTGCCGTTCGATTCTATCATGGTTGACATGAGTCACTACGATCACGAAGAAAATTTGGCCAAGACTAAAGTTCTCACCCGCGTCTGCCACGACCACGGCATCGCGGTTGAGGCCGAGAGCGGACGCATCAACGGCGGCGAGGATGGCATCGCGGACACCGGTGACCTTGAGGGTGAAACGCAGAATTCTTACAAGTTCAAAGGCAACAGCTAGCTAACTGGCTCTTGCAGCTCTTTTTACTAGCCCCGAGGAGGTGGAGGACTTCATTAATGCCGAAATCGACCTTTTGGCCCCTAGCATCGGCAACATCCACGGCGACTATGGCCCAAAAGGTCCCCAGTTGGACTATGAGAGACTTGCTAAGGTCAACAAGCAAATCGACAACCGCGTGTTGATGGCACTGCACGGAACGAACGACTTCTCTCCTGAAATCATGAAGCGCTGCATCGAAAATGGCGCGATCAAGCTGAACGTGAACAAGCTGCTACTAGAGGCCTGGAACGTCCATCTCAAGCAGAACGTAAACAAGCCGTTTACGCAACTGATTGAGGATGGCATAGAGATATTGCAAAAGGAGACTGAAAAGTGGATCGACATTTGTGGCAGTGGAGGCAAGGCGTAATGCAGATGGCCAGTAGATTCAATACAACCAGAACATAGAAAAGAAACGAAGAAACATAACATGTCCAGCTAGGTACCTGCCTAAACATATATGATCGGGTCGATGAGGACATTGCCAAGGGAGTCATTGATATATGGAGATGTTGGGCAAGCAACAAAAACATGCTAAAAAGATACCATGCGGCCAGTGTGGATTGAACACACGACCTTCAGATTAAGTGAATGAAGTTGACTTCAGTCTGACGCTCTCCCAACTGAGCTATGTCCGCCGCCGATTGTTGTTGAAGCATAAGGTCGTAATTGGGAATATGGATCATTGCTAGGGTTGCAAGCCCTACGAGGCGTTGGGCCCACTTCAAGTGACCAGATGGTCTCCATGGCCGACCAAGCGACGTGGGTGTAATCTACCCTGGGCTAAAGATTGTATCGGTTCCTTTCTCTGTCTGTAATAGATAGAGAAGATCCAATTTCATGGGTTTTCCCGATAGTATGACTAAATGACTGACTCGGAAGACATTGTTGGCAGCGCGGTCATGGACGCAGTCTCCACAATTCGTGCGTTCAACCCGTCCATGAGTACACCAATGTTAAGTCTTGACTACCACTCAGAGTCACTATTGACGCCGTCTTGAAAATTTGATTATTGGTATTGTGGTGAGTTGATTCTATTTGGCCGACAAGCTTCGCAAAAACCTCTCCGGAATTCACTACGCACGCTGGCTCAAAACGTGTCCAAACGCCTCGTCCAATATCCTCAGTCCCTCATCAATGTCCTCTGGTGAAACAGTCACAGGGGGTGCCAATCGGAACACTCCACCCATTCCAGGCAAGTTGACAATGTTGCATGACAGACCCAGCTCCATGGCTCTGTCAGAGACAGCCTGTCCCAACTCCGACCCAGGAGCCTTCGTCTTCGCGTCTGAAATGATCTCAATACCCTGCAAGAGACCGCGACCGCGGACGTCCCCAATGCACCAGTACTTCTCCTGAAGCTTCAACAGACCCGCGCGCAGCTGCTCGCCCCGCTCAGTCGCCTTCTGGCAGATGTTGTCGCGCACGACAATCTCAAGAACCTTGTTACCTACAGCAGCGGTCAGGGGGTCGTTGAGATGCGTCGTGAGCCACAGGAAATTCGCGTTTTTGCACCCTTGCGCGACGTCCGCTGTGGTGCTGACGGAAGCGAGGGGAAGACCGCAGCCAAGAGTCTTGGACAGGCAGAGAATATCGGGAACTGCGCCGTCGTGCTCAAAGGCAAACATCTGGCCTGTACGTCCGACACCGGTCTGCGCCTCGTCGAGGATAAAAAGCATGCCGCGCTTGTGGCACTCGTCACGCAGGCGCCTCAAGTAGCCCTTAGGAAGATCGAGGATGCCGCCGGTGGAGAGAATAGGCTCCATGATGAACGCAGCCAAGGATCCGACGCTTTGCCTGTCAATCATTGACCAGCCAAAGTCCATCTCTGTCTCCCAATCATAAGACCCGTCCGGCTTGCGGAAGATGGAGCGGTAGGCGTAGGGTGCGGGGAAGGCGAGTTGGCCGGGCATGGCGGGGCCGCCGTTCTTGCGGCCGGCGGAGTAGGTTGCGGAGCCGGAGCCGGATGTGAGACCGTGGTAGCTGGCGGACATGGCGACGATTTCGAACTTGCCGGTGTGGAGCTTGGCCATCTTGATCGCGGCCTCCGTTGTCTCCGATCCGGTGTTGAGGAAAAAGGACTACGGCCAGAGTTAGCGACTATCACAGTTATGAATGATGAAACAAGTCAACCTTCTCAAGAGGTGCGGGAAGAAGCTTGCCGAGTCTCTCGGCGAGATCAGCGACCGGCTGTGTGATCATGTTGCTGAGCAGATGGTCCAGCTCAGCGACATACTTCTGGACGACCTCGACGATTTCAGGATGGGAGTGACCCAAAAGCGAGCTCATTTGGCCGGACGTGAAGTCCAAAATTTGGCGACCCTCCGCGTCGTACAACTTGGTTCCCTTGGCTTTGGTGATGATGATGGGTGAGTATGGGACGCCCGTAGACATCAAATACTTGTCGGTCTTGGCCCAGAAGGCCGCGGTGCTTTCGGAAGCCATGACGAGGGGAGTGGTATCGATGCTCTAATGTTCTATGAGAAGGCCCAAAGTGTCTCAATGAGTTGCACGGGATGAATCAAGCCTTCTTCGACCTTGAGTATTTATTCTCGTGATAAGAGTTCAAAGTCTCGATTGGTTTACCGCGGGAAGCGGGGCATTGCGGGGCCGGGCACCAGTTGCCCGTGGTGAATCAATTCAAGCTCCGCGGAGCAAGATTGCGCCTGGTTGAGTCTGCCTCGGAAAACTTATTTGTTCATTCGTAGCATAATTAGCGATGATTGTTGAATCATTCTCCCCCCATCTTCAATATTCATACATCGATATTTCACCTTCAACGTAGCTCCAATATGTCGGAGAAGCTATTGGTTGCATAGCGGAACAACGGTTAGAATTGACGTGGTATGACCGCCGCGAACCTTGTCTTCCACGGTTATCAACAAGGGAAAGAGGAGAAAAAAAGCACACAAAGATGACGAAAATAACATTGTTTCCCTCTAGCTCCAGCTCATTCTTTTGACTTGGATTTCGCGAAGCAAAAGTCTAGAGACTCCCGAGCTCATTCGCGTCGCAGACATTCATCAGTCTCTGTCGAAATCTAGATGTCAGAATATGGCTTTACCTGTGATCCAAAAACTAGTCTGGGCGCTTTTTTCCCATGGGAAAGCATGCGGATTTCAAACGCTACCCATAGTGCTGTTGCCTTCAGATGGCAAATTATCTGATGTGGTAATGACTCTCTTTGAGCATCCACACAGCCAATGCAGGGTACCTTGGTTGCCTGGTAATCAGCAGGGTTAACAGTAAGGGGGTAAGCGCTAACAACACTAGCTCGTGATGTATCTCAGCACTCGGGTGACCAAAAAAAGGACCGCTTCCTGAGCTACCCCTAACTTCAACACTTACACTTCCCTAAAGAGGGGTAAGATAAGGATTAAAGAATATTCAGGAGATACCTTACTCTCTGAAGAATAATTCAGTTTTAACAAATATCGTTTTGCTAAAGTTGGGCGTAGTAAAATAGTAAGAGCAAAAAGGTGCGCTCAAAAATCGTTCGTTTTTCCTGTCACCCAAGTGCTCAGGCACATGAGGCTGACCACATGCCCGCAGTTCATCCCCGCCAACGCTGCCAGGCTTACCTAGTAGGCATTTAAAAAGCTCATCCATATCAACAGATATTGCCACTTTGTTCCTATTCAGATGATTCTTGATTGTATCTCACTCTACAAGTCTATGCCTGTGCATAGACTGATTGCTCGGTATGCATTGCGAAGAGGTGCATCAACTTGATCCCGACGGCGATGTCGAGCTCACTCTACGTAATCCAAATGCGCCTTTCGCAGTTTGGGATGAATCTGAAGATGCTGTTGTGCAGCACCTGAACGCATGGTATGCTATTTGTATTTGAAATGCTAGGATGCTCTAATGACTGATTATACTACAGCGATCAAAAGCTTCCGATACTAGCAAAATACTCGTCGTATTATCTTGACTGGTACGACGATGCGAAGCAAGTGTCAATTTTCCCGCCGGAGCTGCTGAACATCGACAACCCTTTCGACATGGACGGTTTTGGCAAGCCGCTTCCGTGCAGGTTTCTTCTTTCCTCTCGACATCTCATGTTAGCATCGTCCATCTTCAACAAGAAACTTTCAGGCCCTTGGAAAGAATCTCTTAAAGATCCTGTTGAGCGGGTGCGACGCATTGAGACAACGGAGTGGGATGTCGATGCTCTACTGATACTTTTTCAAATCATACACGGAAAACACAGTCATGTTCCACGTTTTGTGGATCTCGAAATGTTGGCCAGGATAGCAACCTTGGTCGACTACTATGATTGCCACGAAGCTGTTCAACTATATGGAGACATGTGGATCGACGGCATCAAAAACGACCTTCCCACCCAATGCAACCGTGAGCTAGTTTTGTGGATACTGGTGTCTTGGGTTTTCTCAAAAGAGAACGTCTTCAACCCAGTCACGAGAACAGCCATTCTTGATAGCAAAGGCCCTGTTCCCACGCTCGAGCTGCCCATCCCTCAATTACTCATCGGTATGCTTTCATTCTGCGCCAAACGATCCAACATGGTTATTGACAGTCATAGACACAATCGAAACTCAGAGAATACAGCAGATACGTCCGGTCGCTGCTCAGCTTCAAAGCCTTCTTGACTCGTTACGGAATGGCACAGTCGGCTGCAACTATGAATGTTCTGCGATACTGCTGGGACATTTAACGAAGCAAATGTACTCTCATGATTTACTGGAACTTCTGTCGGACCATACATGTATAGGCTACGGGATCTCAGATACAAGGACTGCTCTGCGTACCTTTCGTTCTCCAAGGTGGCCAAAGTATAATATTTCTGGGGCTACCTGTGCAAGTCATCCATGTAGACTGGTAGACGAGATCTTAACTGGTGCATGCTCAAGCTTTGACCAGAAGTATGAAGGGCTACGTCTGGATGATGTTCGACCTTAAATCTGCCATCCTTCACTAGAGTTGAGAAGAAGATCACAATAAAAAGTCCAAGTCTAGCGGGTCTAGCTGCAACGTAGGTACATATACATCCAGCAGTAAATCCCAGATCGAGTGATTGTAGCACAGAAGAAAATTGTTATTGGAAGTTCATTATCAGAGTCAAAGCTGATAGCTCTTCCAAGCCTTTCCCCACGCCAACAGTCCTTGGGTCCTGATGTTGTCACTCAGCAGCTTCTGTGTCACTGATGGGTATCATACACCTTATTTAGCATCAGTGTAAACCAAAGGGTGACCGGAGCAACATCTAATTTACAATCTAGTATGTGGTCTTCGCAGACAACAATTCGCATAAAAGAGGCTTCTTTTGCCACAATGTATAAACCTTCATTTTATTCCAGTCGAAAGATTCATGGGTCAATCGGACATCGAAGTTTAGGAACAGAGATGCCAGAAGCTGCACAGAATTAGCATATGTTGCTAAGGAGAATGACCAGCCAGCCTGTAAATAACAGGACGTTGAAGTGACGAGTATATTACTTACCAATCGAAGTTCATGCATAGCAAGATCCTTAGAAATTAACGTCAGCCCAAGGTGTTCAGGAAGGCATCGGGGGCTCGAGCCTTTCCAATGCAATTAAATGGTCCCATTAGAAACGGCTTGGCCATGTCCAGTTGGTCGTTCCCGAATTCAGGGTCACGAAGCCATCGTTGCGGG